GTAAGTGTTCAACCCTAATGTTCTTAAGTCTTATTTTCGACTTCAACTCATTCCTTCTGCATTTTGATTTTTGACTTCAACCCTATCCATCGGCCAGAACAGACGTCGGCAACTCCGTCTTCGGCCACACTAGAGGGTTCAATTTCTTGATTACGGGTTCCTAAAAGCTTGAATAGGATTCACTTTTTGAATTTTTGTTTTCAATTTCTGATTGCTGTACATCCATTTGAGATTAAATATTTAAATTGCAGGATCCATGGTTCTTGTTGGAATTTTAATTTACCAGACATGCATGAATCAGAATTGCAAATCCATGGTTCTTGTTGAAACGTCAGACCAATGTTTTTTATTTTTTATTTTCTGATTATAACAAGCAGATAAATAAGATGGTCTTCTTATTGAATATAAACTGATGGTGTGAAGAACTTGCAAACAACCCCTCTTCAGCATCTTCGATAGCTTAAAGAAGCTCCGCATGAACCTAATTAACAAAATAATAAGGATTATCTTAATATCCTCAATGACTTGTCAAAGTCTGAAATGATACAAGTGGTAATTGCTCATAAATAGGTGCTATTTGTTGCTACTTTAAGATGTTCATATCATATAATGTTTTTGGATAGAATTTCCCCGTGTTGTTGGTGGGTATGCTATTGCTTTGGGGTACTGAAAGTTGAAGATATTTTTGGAGTTTACTATTTACCTGGGTGCTTACTATTTACCTGGGTGCATCTTATTTCATGTTTGAGGTTATTTGAAGATAGCGTGGAACTTAATTGCATTACATAAAATAAAATCATTTGTTTGGCGGCTTAGACGGATTTGCCCCTCTTGCTTTCATTTGGACTCAAAGATGTATTGTTTTTGGCTTTTTTTGCTTTTAGATTGGTGATTCAATTTATAGTGTGATTTGTTTCTATCTTTTTTCTGTTTTTGCAAACTGGTTTGTATATTTCGAGCTTCCTAATATTGGTCTTTCTCTTTTTTATATAATCTTTTGTTGTTAAAAAAATTGTAAACATGTCATCATATTCCCTTTGGAGATAATTCATAAGTTGTGAGCTCCTATCTTTATAACAATACCGATTGCATTACCAATTTATAGTGACCTTAGATAATTTGCTACCAATCATTAATAGTAATAAACGGCTCTGAAACAAAAACATCATAGGACTTAAAATAAACATACATATATTTTTGAATTATAATATCGAGCATAACTCAAATTAAACAATTCAACAAAAACTCACACAAAGTAAACATGCATTTAAACTGATGGTTAAAAAAGATTAAAATTACACCTATTTGGTAAATTGTTGAGTCTAATTGTGTTGCGTCATGGGCTTGTGTTTTGTATCCGGATTGGGCCTGTCCATCCGTGATTAGCTGGTAGGGTTAGACTATAAATAATGCATGCATGTATGCATTAAAAGGTTAACGTTTGTGATTATTATCGTTTTTAGTTTTTGTAACCCTAAACACCTCTACAGTCGAAGTTCTTAATCGAGCTCTTCTGAGGCGTTGAAGCATTAATCATACGACACATTCAAAGCCATTCTTGTGTTCATAATTACGTTCTTAATTGTTTGTCTGCATAGAATCTATCGATCCTAATTGAACTTTGTTTCAACAATTGGTATCAGAGCAGGAGACTGTGTGATCAATACACATTCCTTCTGTATTCAGAATTCTTTAGGGTTTCCGCTTTTATCGTATAAATAGAAGTCGTCTTCTTCATATCGACGGCAACTCTGTTTCTGATAAAACCCTAATCTCAAGTTTACAGGTCTGATTCTAGCAGCTCACCATGTCTCACGAAGATTCGCAAACAAATCACATCAACATCTCAAACAACATTGGATCCACTACCAGGATTCCCATTCTTTACACTCAAGACTATGAAGTATGGGCGCATCACTTTGAAGATTACGTGGTTGGATCTGAAGACAATGGCTATCTCATCTGGGAAGCTATCACGCTTGGGCCGTTTGTTCACTCAGGAACGAACACAACAGTTAAGTCCCAAAAGGAATATAACAAGCTGGTGGCGGATGTAGAGAAGATGCCACAGGATGAGAAAGACAAGTTGCTGTGTAATGTGAAGGTCATGAGAATGATCAGATTCGCCTTGCAATCTGACACTTTTCGGTTGGTTGGTTCATGCACGACGGCCAAAGAAATCTGGGATAGGTTGAAAGAACTTTATTCAACCGATGAAGATCTAGAACACTCCATTCAAACCTTGCTGCTGTCAGAATTTGGAGTTTTCGAACAGAAACCAGAAGAAAAACTCATACAAACTTTCGATCGGTTCAATCATCTCCTAAGTAAGATGATCAAGCATGGAACAGAAAGAAAGTTGATCGAGCAGAAGGTGACCTTCATGAACGGTCTGAGACCAGAATGGATGGCTGTGGTTTCAACCGTGAAAGCACATGAACAGTTTAAATCTTACTCACTAGCGAAACTTGTGGGAATACTTAAGTCCCATGAGAGTGTAGTAACCAAAGAAGCGAAGGTAGTTTCTGGTGTGGGATCGCTGGCCCTTGTCTCAAAAGGAAAAAGCATTGCAGAAGAAGAAGAAAAGTCTGATATGTCTGAGTGTGACCTTACAAGCGAGGAGTATGCTATGATGGTCACCAATCCAAAGAAGTTTGCACGAAGAAAATTTCCTGTCAACAAGAACCGAAACTGGCAGGGAAGTTACAGTTCTGAGAAGGTGAAGGATGAAGCGAAAAATTCTTCTCAAAAGGATGAAGACAAGAAGGAGAGCAAGCTTGCAGGAGACTCAGGGTTCGACTGCCATTACTGTTGTTGGATTAGGTGTCTAAGCCCATAACTATAATTGGTATGTACTTGAATTGATAGCAGCACAGTCCTTTTGGGTTGCCCTCAACCTAGCAACTGGACAAGGAAATTATGAAAGGAGAGATATTAATTTATAAGATTAATAAATTAATATATATATATATATATAAAATGATTTATTAATATGTTAATGGATTAATATATTAATTAGAAATCATTATGTTTAATTAATTGTTAGCCAGAAATTAATCAGAATTGATTTTGGGGTTAAAAGAATTAATTATAAGGTGCAGGGACTAGTTTGCAATTATCTAATAGTTGAGTGGAAGGCTCTAGAACCCCCTTGGAAGAGGGTGGACGAAATCTTTAGGGGAAACCCTAATAATTTCGTCCATAGGGGCTTGGATAAGGCCCTTGGGTTTGCTTAGGCCCTAAGCAAAGGATAACTAGGGTTTCCCTTAAACCCTAGATCCCTCAGCTATATAAGGAGCCTCCTGGTTCATGTTTTTGGTCACTCTTTCTTTTGAAGAAACCCTAAGGCCGAGATTTGCATACTCCCTCTCCTCTCTCTCTCTTCTACTTTCCTTCTTGCTAGTTTGGGTGTGACTCCATTAGAGGCATTACACTTGTGGTGCTAAAGCTTCCAAGAAGATCAAGATCAAGATCAAGGGAATATCAATTGTTTGCTATAACAATTGAAAGGTATGTAATCCCTAAACCCTAGTTTACTATTTTCGAAATAGCCTCTCTCCTCTAGGGTTCTTGTTTTGCAATTCAAAGTTGTATGTTCAATAGTTAAAACATAGATCCAAAGTAGGTTGCATGTGAACTTAGGAATTGTTTTTCTAGTTTATTTGTTTTACCTAAAACCCATCAGTGGTATCAGAGCCATTGTTGTTTTAAATTGAATTGCTACAATTGTTGAATTGCAAATTAGGGTTTATAGCTATTAAACCCTAAAGGCCAATTTTTCGATTTCTAGGGTTTTGGATCAAAGGGTTTTTTCGAAAACCCTAGCCTCCAAAGAACCCTAATCGAAATTAGGGTTAGGGTTTTGAAAACCCTAGCCTCCTCCCTTATGAATTTCGAAATATGCTAAGAGGATAACTAGGGTTTCTTGTTTTTGGATAATTGTTACTTAATTAGATTAATTGGATAATTATCCTTACCCTATTTTTCGAAATTAGAGGGATAAGGATTAGGATTAAATTAATTGATTAATTTAATTAGATAATCCTTACAAGATTTAATAATTTGATTAATAGTTAATTAATAGATAAATATTAAATCTAGTTAATTGGTTTATTTAAATTTGAATTTAATAGCTTAAATTTCGAAATTTATAAACCCTTGAAGTTTTAAAATGTTTTAAAACACACCTTATATATATATTATAATTAAAAGTTTAATATTATATATGTATAAGAACATGGTCAGTCAAATCGCTAGTATGCCTCATTCACGAAGCTAATCTATAAGGGGGGTATAAGGAAACTGCCTATAAAATGGTAGTTGAATGGGTGTCCACTCTCACCCACCGCTTCCTTGATTAGTGGAGGGTCGTTAGCAGAACGGATTTGATAGGACAACTACTTCTCATTAAAAGTATAATGATATTAAAGAAAGTACTAGAACATTATTTTCAAAATCCCAACTCTAGTTACTTTAGGAAAAATGTGAAAAGTATGCTAATCCATGAAATTGCACATTATGCTTTATTGGTCGTTAGTGGAGCGTGTGTGGTTAACCAGCACACTAAAAGGCACTAATAAAGAGTAGCAATGGGTATCTCATAATTGTCATTTTGATGGAGCGTGTGTGGTTTACCAGCACATCAATAGTTAATGATAAAGACAATGAGGTTACCAAGCACATTTGCATGGTTATTCACATCTTGTTTGTGATCCTCGGCATCCCAGTCACAAATAGAAGAGCATAATCTGAGAATAAAACATGCCATTGAATAGTTTCAATGTATCTCAAAAGAATTAGGAATTTCACTTCGTTTGTTTCGTCTAATGGTGGAATTGGTGAATCGTCATTCACCTACCTTTATGAAATTTGCACTTGGATCTCGGCATCCCATTTCTAAGTTGTGAATCTTCATAGTTGGATCCTAACCTTGATACTATATCTTTGGGTTATTCTATTAAGGTATCTTGAAATCTAACTAAAACTTTCTTTCTTTTCAGATGTCTACTCCTGGAAACACTTCTGCTTCGTCCTCCTCCAACCAAAACTTCTCTTTGCTCAATATATGCTCCAAAGTCGTTATGGATGGCTCAAACTATAACGATTGGATGCGCAACATCAAGATGGCTCTTCGCTTCGAGAACAAAGAATATGTTCTTGAAAAGGAGCTCAAAGAGCTTGATGAGAATGAAGCTACTCCTGAAGATCTTGCTGCCTACAAGAAACATTACGATGATGCTACCAAAGTGGCATGCATCATGGTGGCAACTATGTCCCCAGAACTGCAGAGGTACTATGAGGACTACTGGCCTTTCGAGATGAACAAGGACCTTATGGAAAAGTACCATAAGCGAGCTCGTCAAGAAAAGTTCGAAGTAGTCAAGTCACTCATGGCTTGCAAGATGAAAGATGGGGAGTCAGTTGTGTCACATGTGCAAAGAATGCAACGCTACATAGAGCGTTTGGTCAAGCTCAATATTCACTTTGATGAGGAATTGGCCATTGACATGGTCTTGAACTCACTTCCTGAATGTTATGGTCAGTTTATTCTAACTTACCATTTGAACAATACTGAGCAGACCTTGGCCCAATTGCACAACTTGTTGCAGACAGCTGAGGCAGGGATGAAGGTAAAAGTATACCCTCCACACCTGCTAGTGCCCCTGTTTTGGCTATTGGACAGGGAAAGGGGAAAAAGAGGAAAGGTCCTCCCAAGCAAAACTGGAAGAGCAAGGCTCAAGCTGGGTCATCTAGTAATGGCCCAAAGGCTAAGCCCAATGGTTCCACTCCCCATGTTTCTGATCCAAAAGAGGCAGTTTGCTTTTACTGCAACCAAAAGGGGCATTGGAAGAGATCTTGCCCACATATCTGCAAGATATCAAGGATGGCAAAGTGAAGCCATCTTCGGCAGGTATTTACACTATTTCTGCTAATAACTCATTATCTTCTCGTTCATGGGTCCTTGATACAGGATGTGGTTTTCATATCTGTTCTGATTTGCAGGGTCTAAAGGAAAATGAGGAGATAGAGCGAGGAAGGATAAACCTGATCATGGGAAACAGAAAGTCTTCACCAGTAACCAAGATCGGAGTTTATCAGCTTCTGCTTAGTAATGATGTTAGATTAGATTTAATAAATTGTTGCTATTCGTCTGAGATGACGAGAAACATTATTTCATTTCATGCATTGTTCAGACAAGGTTTTACATATTCTTTTAATGATTTGAATGGTTCAATTTCTGTTTATAAGAATGGTGTTTTTATGTTTGAAGCTTTGCCTTGTAATGGTGTGTATGAAACAGTGACTTGTGTTGATAGCCTAGGAAATAGTGTACTTAATATTGACTTGTCTAATAGTGTAGACAAGGCATGCTTGTGGCATTGTCGTCTTGGACACATTAACAAGAAACGCATAGCCCAACTCCAAAAGGATGGAGTGTTGGAATCATTTGACCTAAAGTCAGATGATATGTGTGAGTCTTGTCTTTTGGGAAAGATGACAAAATCACCATTCACAGGGTCTTGTGAAAGAGGTGAAGGTCTGTTGGATCTCATACACACGGATGTGTGTGGACCCTTCAGATCAACTACAAGAGATGCTAATCGATTCTATGTGACTTTCACTGACGATTATAGCAGATATGGATATATCTACTTGATCAAGCATAAGTCAGAAACTTTTGAAAAGTTCAAAGAGTTTAAGCATGAAGTCGAAAATCAATTGGGCAGAAAGATAAAGATACTTAGATCCGATAGAGGCGGGGAGTATCTTAGTATCGAGTTTAACGACTATCTGAAAGAATGTGGGATAGTCTCACAATTGACTCCTCCTAGGACACCACAGTTAAATGGTGTAGCTGAGAGGCGCAATCGAACCTTGTTAGACATGGTTCGTTCTATGATGAGTCGGGCTTCGCTTCCTATTCACTTCTGGGGGTATGCCTTAGAGACAGCCGCCCACATCCTCAATCTTGTCCCTACAAAGAAGGTTGCCAAAACACCTCACGAAATGTGGACAGGGAAAGTTCCCTCGTTAGCACATATTAAAGTCTGGGGTTGTGAAGCTTTCGTAAGACGAGAGACTCACGACAAGCTAGCAGCTAGAAGTGAGAAATGTGTTTTCATTGGTTACCCAAAGCAGTCTTTTGGATATTTGTTCTACAGGCCTAGTGAGAACGTGGTCTTTGTAGCACGAAGAGGAGTCTTTCTTGAAAGAGAGCTCATATTCAAAGAGGACAGTGGGAGCACTATTGACCTTGAAGAAATTCAAGAGTCAGCCAATGAAGGAACCTTAGATGACACTAGCACTCAACCAGAGGAAACAGTTCCTGTTGAACCAATTGATAACTCATTACCTCTTAGAAGATCCACTAGGGTGAGTGTGCCACCTGAGTTGTATGGTTTTCATATTACTTCAGATGGTGACACATTCATAAGTGACAGAACACTGGTAAACTTAGATGAACCAGTCACTTATAAGGAAGCAATGGCAGGCCCAGAGGCTTCCAAGTGGAAAGAGGCAATGGACAGCGAGATTAAGTCCATGTATGACAACCAAGTTTGGAATTTGGTTGATAGTGCACCAGGTCGCAAGACAGTTGGGTGCAAATGGATCTTCAAGAAGAAGACAGACATGGATGGAATGTGCATACATTCAAGGCTCGACTGGTTGCAAAAGGTTTCACTCAAACCCCAGGGGTTGACTATGATGAGACTTTTCGCCAGTGGCTAAGATTAAATCTATTAGGATATTGCTCGCCATAGCTGCCTTTCATGATTATGAAATCTGGCAGATGGATGTCAAAACTGCTTTCCTTAATGGGAAGTTGGCTGAAGATGTTTACATGAGTCAGCCAGAGGGTTTTGTTGATGCAAAGTTTCCCAATAGAGTGTGCAAGCTTGAGAAATCCATTTATGGATTGAAACAAGCATCTCGCAGTTGGAATCTTTGCTTCCATGAGAAAGTCAAAGAGTTTGGTTTCTCTAGAAGTGAAGATGAGTTTTGTGTGTATATCAAGGCTAGTGGGAGTATAGTAACTTTTCTGGTGTTATATGTCGATGACATATTACTCATTGGTAACGACGTTCCAACCTTGAAAGAGTTAAGTCTTGGCTTGGAAAGTGTTTTGCAATGAAAGACCTTGGAGAAGCTGCCTATATTCTTGGGATTAGAATATTGAGAGATAGAAAGAAGAGACTAATTGGACTTAGTCAGAGCACATACTTGGATAAGGTACTAAAGAGGTTTAGTATGGAAAATTCCAAGAAGGGAGAGCTACCTATCCAGAGCAATACCAAATTGAGTAAGACTCAATGCCCGAGTACAGATGTTGAAATAGATGACATGAGTCGTGTACCTTATGCTTCCGCTGTCGGATCGATCATGTACGCTATGACATGTACTCGCCCTGATGTGGCATTTGCTTTGAGCATGGTCAGTCGCTATCAGGGAAACCCAGGTAGAGCTCATTGGATAGCAGTTAAGAATATACTCAAGTATTTGCGAAGGACAAAGGACTGGGTTCTTGTGCTTGGTGGCAGTGATACTTTGAGAGTAGATGGTTACAGTGATGCCAGCTTTCAGACGGATAGAGATAACTTCCGTTCTCAGTCGGGCTGGGTATTTTTACTGAATGGAGGAGCAGTTACTTGGAAGAGTTCCAAGCAAAATACGGTGGCTGATTCTACTTGTGAATCAGAGTACATTGCAGCAAGTGAAGCGTCGAAAGAAGCAGCTTGGTTGAGGAACTTCATCGGGGATCTCGGAGTTGTTCCAACCATCCAGGAGCCTATGGAACTGTTCTGCGATAATGAAGGAGCGGTTGCCTTGACAAAGGAACCGAGAGATCATGGTAAGACCAGACATATCGACAGAAAGTACCATTTCATTAGACATAGAGTTGAAGAAGGCCATCTTATAGTAAAGAGGGTGTCATCTGAAGATAACCCAGCAGATCCCCTCACAAAGGGTCTGAGTAGGGCTAAGCATATTCAGCATGCTCGGAGCATAGGACTGAAAGATGATATTAGTTTTAGTAGTTAGATTAGTTTTTGAAACTTGTAACAAAGTAAATGTAATTGACTTTTGGTGATTAAATAATAAAGTATTATTTATAAGTTTGGCTACTACCTTTTGTCAATTGTTTATTACTGTGTTTCATATTTTGCATGTTTTACTTCCTGAATAATGAGATTATTCAAACTCCACAGTCGCTCGTACTCTTGGAAGTAAGTAGTGAATTAAGACTGTCATGAATTGGATTGCAGATTGTCTAAGGATAGACATGGCAATAGAATTGCTGCAACGTTCATGAGTACTCAGAAATTGAGATTTGAGTATTGGATAAACCCTCGCTCAGAGTATTACTTCATGGAATTCATCACGAGTAATACTGAGACGATAATATCTTATAATCTTGAAACGAAGATATATGAGTTGTAATTTACAAGTCGGTTGTGCATTGGTGATACGAAAACGCATCAGTAACTTGGTGTTATAAAACGTATTGTCATGCATAATTTGATGAGTAAAAGATACAAGCATATGAGTCAACGTTTATTCGTTCCTTTTGCCCTAACAGGAAAAGCGATATCTGTGGGCCCCTCGATGATTTGGTGTTGACTTATGTGCTGGGCCCAGCCAGGACTAAATTGATGTGTTCGATTAGAAGTCCTACATCATCACAAATCAGGAATCGGGAAACATAGATTCTGGACAAACAGATTGATTACATTCCATGTCTTTTGTCTGGGGATATCAAGCAGAACGAAGGGTTATATGATCACTTATCTTAGGACACGTAACTGACTGGGTCAGAGTTCGGCAGCAGCTTTTTGGAAGCTACAATTTGCTGGTCAAATTTAGAAGGCATACTAGCAATTATAGTTACAGACTTATCCAAGTGGGAGACTGTTGGATTAGGTGTCTAAGCCCATAACTATAATTGGTATGTACTTGAATTGATAGCAGCACAGTCCTTTTGGGTTGCCCTCAACCTAGCAACTGGACAAGGAAATTATGAAAGGAGAGATATTAATTTATAAGATTAATAAATTATATATATATATATATAAATGATTTATTAATATGTTAATGGATTAATATATTAATTAGAAATCATTATGTTTAATTAATTGTTAGCCAGAAATTAATCAGAATTGATTTTGGGGTTAAAAGAATTAATTATAAGGTGCAGGGACTAGTTTGCAATTATCTAATAGTTGAGTGGAAGGCTCTAGAACCCCCTTGGAAGAGGGTGGACGAAATCTTTAGGGGAAACCCTAATAATTTCGTCCATAGGGGCTTGGATAAGGCCCTTGGGTTTGCTTAGGCCCTAAGCAAAGGATAACTAGGGTTTCCCTTAAACCCTAGATCCCTCAGCTATATAAGGAGCCTCCTGGTTCATGTTTTTTGGTCACTCTTTCTTTTGAAGAAACCCTAAGGCCGAGATTTTGCATGCTCCCTCTCCTATCTCTCTCTTCTACTTTCCTTCTTGCTAGTTTGGGTGTGACTCCATTAGAGGCATTACACTTGTGGTGCTAAAGCTTCCAAGAAGATCAAGATCAAGATCAAGGGAATATCAATTGTTTGCTATAACAATTGAAAGGTATGTAATCCCTAAACCCTAGTTTACTATTTTCGATAATAGCCTCTCTCCTCTAGGGTTCTTGTATTGCAATTCAAAGTTGTATGTTCAATAGTTAAAACATAGATCCAAAGTAGGTTGCATGTGAACTTAGGAATTGTTTTTCTAGTTTATTTGTTTTACCTAAAACCCATCAACTGTCACAGCAAGAACCACTTTGCCAAAGATTACATGCTGAGGAAAATGGCTGAGAAAAGAGATGGTGAAGATGATGAGGCGTACTACATGCGCAAGTTGGAAGAAATCAAGAAAAAGAAGGCGACTAACAGTTCTATGAATGCCTTGATTGTGCAGGAGAATGCAGATGAAGACGAGTTCGGTGGCGTTGAAGTTTGGTCAACCGATTCTAAAGATGAAGAGGTGAGAAAGCCCACTCATGGGAAGAGCTTATGTGGCAAAGGATGTAGGTTCGGCTGGAAGATGTTTGATAGTCACAGCTGGTGCATCAACCGAAAGTGCAAGTGAGGAACCGAACCTGATTGAGGACAAATGTTTTGCAGCCAAGCCCTTGAGTGAGAAGATCAACGACTGCGATCGGCTGATCAAAAAGGTACAATCCATCATTGAATCACTTAAAGTTCCAGTAACAGATTATGAAGAAGAATTAAAAGAATTAAAATTTAAATTTTCTAACTTAAGTGGTAGTCTCATGCAAACTCGCTTAGCGAATTCTAACCTAACTGACCAACTCAGCAGGGTGTCTTCAAAAAGTGAGGAGAGAAGGATGTGGATTGAGCTGAAGGAGGCGGAATAAATAGGGCTAGGGATGAAAGTATTTATTTGCAAAGAGACAATTTAAATTTTTAAAACAAAGGAATGTTTTTTGTTTAATTGCTAAGCGCTTATATACTAATATTGCTCAATTGCATTTAAGTTGTGAGATAGGGAAAAAGATTCATAAGATGATCTTACCCTTCCTTGAATTTAAGGAGGATGAGGTCATTGCTGAGTGTGAATCAATAGTGTCCTCAGAAGAGACATCCATGTCTTACAAAATTGGACTGGACAAGATAGAGACCTTCATTGACTCTAAGGAACATAAATGTATGCTTAAAAATCTTTTGGATGAAATGATAGGTTAAAAATTAAGTCTGAAACTATTCAATCTTTTGACTCTTCAAACGCCAAATTAATTTCTGAAAATAAAATGAACTTAGAAATACGTCTGAATTTGATGAGGAAGTGAGATGACGAAATCTCAATCTCAGTGGAAGACGTAGTTGATTGCTCTGAGTTTATGAAGAGCGAAACCGAAAATGAGAAACCCCTCATATCTGAAAATCCAGTTGAATTCGCTCGCCTGTCAAAAGAAAAGCCACAGAAACTCAAAGAAAAAGCCATGGTTTATCAAAAGGTACAAACTGTGCCGAATCAGGTCTATGCAGTTACCGGTGTCACTGCAAAACAAACAGCAGAGTTGAAAATCTTGGTCGACAAAGACAATGTTGAAGGGTGTGACGATTACTTCTGGTCAGCCCCTATTGACAACGCGGACGTAACTGTAGGCTTATCTGAGCAAACTTCATGGAGGGTTAAAGGAAGATACGTTGTTGAACCCATCAACAAACCCTCGAGTTTCGACAAACCAAGCACAAGTGGAACTAAAGAAATCCCTGAAGAACCAATGAAAGAACCGAATGTTCCAACTAAGACAACCGAAACTCAAAAAGAGAAGCCAAAGGCTAGCTTCAATATCCACAAATCGCAGAAGGAGTTAGCTGAACAGAAACGCTTAAGAAATCAAAGATACATGAAGAATCTGAATGAGCGAAAACATCATTGGCAATCTCAAAATCCCAACTACGTTCCTCCAAAGAAAGAATCAATTAATAAAGGAAAGGAAAAACTGAAAGGAAAAGAAAAATTCAGTCCAAATTCCTACTATTCCAAATCTCAGAACCGAACATCTACTTTCGGTTCCAAAACTAGCGCGCAGAACCGAATGTCTAGTTTCGGTCCAAACGTCAAGGCTAACAACCGAACATCTACTTTCGGTCCAAATAACGGCACTCAGAACCGAAAGTCAAGTTTCGGTCCTCAGTCAAGTTTCGGTCCTAAGACAATTTTTGGTCATAAGTCTAGTTTCGGTCCTTCCAACTCACAAAGCAAATTAAATTCAATAAAGGATATCAAAGGCAAGGGAAAGCTTGATTCTGAGTTCAATAATAAGAAAAAGTCAGCTAACCCTAGGGTTCAAAAGAAAACGCCAAAACCATCTAACAACACACCATCTAATACACCAAAGTTTAAACAAGATAAAACTAAAATCAAGGTGTATACCATCAAAAGAAAAGATCAAACCACTCTAGTAAAACGAACATACTTGGTTGATGTTTCTACTGCAATTCCTTTTTCTGTGAAAAACTCACCAGGACCCAAGAAACTTTGGGTTCCTAAATCTGCTTGAATTTGCAGGTGATACGTGACGAGCAGTTCGATGATGAATGGTATATAGACAGTGGCTGCTCGCGTCACATGACAGGAAGGAAGGAAGAGCTGAGGGAGTTTCGGTCCCTAAAGGATGGTGGATGTGTGAAGTATGGCAATAACTCGTATGGAACAATCAAAGGATATGGGATGATAACCAACGGAGATTTCTCGATTCGAAAAGTAGCGTATGTGGAAGGATTGCAGCATAACCTCATCAGTGTATCACAATTAGTTGTGGGAACAGGCTTGAAAGTTTCATTTGATGATGAGGGCTCAGAAATAATTGAGAAACAATCCAAACAGGTTCTGTTGAAATCTGAACGCAAGGGAGAGATGTATCCTTTAAATCTCAACCCGATTCGAGGAAAACCAGCTATATGTCTGCTATCAAAGGCGAACACTGATGAAAGCTGGTTGTGGCATCGACGACTATCGCACCTGAACTTCAAAGACATTAATAAGTTGGTGCTTGGTGATCATGTTCGAGGCCTTCCTCTTCTCAAGTTTGACAAGGAACATCTGTGTGCAGCGTGTGAAATGGGTAAACAAAGCAGAAAGAGCCATCCTACACGAATCAATACAAAGATTGTTGAAGCTCTTGAACTTCTGCACATTGACTTATGTGGACCTTCGGCTATCGAAAGCTTCGTGGTAGTAAGTTTATTCTTGTCATTGTAGATGATTTTCTCGCTTCACCTGGGTTTTCTTTCTTAAACAGAAATCAGATGCTACTCCCAATTGAAGACATTCATCAAGCAAGTGGAAGTGCAGCTGCGAAAGACGGTGAGGAATATCAGAAGCGACAATGGCTGGAATTCAAGAATAAAGATTTTGAAGACTTTCTAGCTGACAAGGGGATATCTCACAACTTTTTCGGCCCCTTATACACCACAAGAGAATGGGATTGTTGAAAGACGAAATCGTTCTTTATGTGAGGCAGCCAGAACCATGCTCAGCTTCGCTTCCC